ATTAAAACCTAATTAATTTCCACTAAAAAAGTGTTGGTAATAAGCATTCAAATGAAAGAATGCTGTTATACAAGAGTGATAAAATCTGAATTTTTTCTAGAATTCCATACCTTTATTTTTCATCAATAATTTTTGAATACAAAGAACATCAATTATTAAAATAAATGCTAACTATGGACAAGGGGTAGTATGCCAATATAATTATATGGATAGTATCCCTGAGATTAGGATCATTAATAAGAATTTTCGTTGTACCTTAAAGCAAAGGGTTTCTTTTGTAGTTATTATAGTTCCCGACCATCATCCTACCATTGAGATGGTTTATATAAATAGATTTCAAAAATATCTTTAGAGTTGTAAATTTCCTACAAAATATATTTTAATCATTAATTTTTCCTTTTTTATCTTAATTTTGATCAGACTATTTTTAGAAATCCCTTAAGGAATATATAACGTATTTATTACTGTGTTAGATAAAATCATGTAATAATAACATACTATCATCATTACTTGCCAAAGAATGACATTTATTTTATCAATTTTTCTAGATTATAAGGAAGATATACTAAAATATAAAAGAAACGATAAACATCTGTTATACCTTAAAATTATGATGGTATTGTTGTAATACAACAAAATGGTGGGTATATTTTAGAAAAAATGAAAAGGAAAAAGTTTAAAAGCAAAAAATGTAATAATGCCATATGAAGTACAATCCTAATTAAAAAATAATAATATATCACGATAAAGTCAAAACTTGTCTTACGACAGTATATTTATTGATACATTATATCTAAGGATGATCAATCCTTAGACAATTACAATAGTAATTATTTTGAATAGAATTATCATATTTGTCAGAATTTAAATTTAAATCAAGTAAAATCAGTGTGATTATAAAATGGAAGCTTAAATTTTTTTAACTAACAATATCTCTTTTGATAATACTATTATTATTTAATAATATGATTACAAAAAAAAAGAGATTGATATTTCAAATGTGTAATATAAGAATAATTATATCCCTTAGCCTCCTGTCCATATTATAAGTATTATATAATTTTAATATTTCATAATAAAATTTAAATTTATATAATTTTGGTAATATATTCCCTCCATTTCCTAATGCAACTTAATTAATCATAAATTATGACAAAGACATATTTTTTGTAGAGACAAATATTTTCTAATTTTTTTAAATCTAGTTCAGTACTATTTCTATATATTATTGTTTCAGATTAATGAGGATTGCTACTTTATTTTAGGTCATATTTTAAAGATATTCATATGCATTAACAGTTGAATTTATATTTCATGTAAGAAATTAAATGGTCTGGAAATGTACGCACGATATAATTCATTTAAATTTACAAATACTTCAATATCAAAGTGTTTTAAACTTTTGGAGCTATTGTTTAACTTACTATATTTGTAATAAATAATCAAATATTTAGCACTTAATTCTCGGTATAATTTTAATCTATCTTAACACAAAAATCAAATAATATAATTTGTACTAATTAATAATTTACACACATAAAATACCTTGGTATATTTACTTTGAATGCTGTAAAAATTTACATTTTCCTAGTGTTATAAATTTCTAAAATATTATTTTTCTAATTTTAAATAAATGTCCTTTCTATTGTTCAATCAATCATAAATAACTTCTTATCAATTTTTTATTTTCCACCAATCAAAATCAGCCAATTAAAATTTTCTAGAATTTTCCTTATTTTATTTATATAAAATTTAAACAACCAACCATGCGACCACAAGATCAAGAAAGAAGAGGCAGACGCACTAATGGTAGGGCTAGACCAATGGATCAAGGAATGAGTGATTTTATCAGAGAAGTATTTAATTCAGAAATTACCAATGTAAATTTTTTGCTTGGATTGTTAACTGAACCAGCCTCAACTGCTACAAACCAAGAAATACGATTTACCTTTACTAATTCAGAAAACAATCTTTTTGATAGAGTATTTGATTTCTTTGATAGACCAGTTGAAGAGGAAAGAAGAAGTAGAAGGGGTAGACCTAGAAGAAGAGAGAACCATAATAATTTCATAGGTGATATTTTTGATAGACTACTACAAAGAATAAGGTTACTGAATTCAACTGCTCCCGATTTATTCAACTTTAACAATATTTTTACAATTTTTACCATTAATTTTAATCCCAAACCAGAACCAAAGGTTGTGAATAAAGAGAATATTGATAAGATTAAGAAAGAGAGGTATAATTCAACAGCTAAAGTTCCTTGTCCCATATGTTACAGTGATTTTAAAAAGGGAGAAGAAATTAGATGTTTAGATTGCTCACATAAGTATCATAGAAAATGTATTGATCCTTGGTTGTTAAATTCTTCTGACACATGTCCAACCTGTAGAAAAACAGTTTTAAAAGAGGAATAATGTTATTTAAATTAAAAGTGTATTTTATTAATAGTTTTTTACTTTTTTTACTCCTAAATGAGATATTCTCTTTAATAAATTATAAATATTTATGATCAATGTAAGAAATTAGGTATAATTGATATATTTTAAAATAGTATTATTTATTTAATTAAACTATTTTGAATATATTTATATTTATTTTAAATAATTTATATTTCATTTTAATATTTATTATGATATTTGGATATTTTTTAAATCTAACACAATAAATTAATTTTTTTCCTTTATTTTATTTAAATATCAATAATATTTAAAGATTATTTATTTTTGATCTTAAACACAAAAAAATAATATATCATTTTATTTTTTAAATTTTTATGTGTTTTTAAACTTTATAATATTATTTTAAAGGTTATATTATTTTTATAAGGTAGGATTAGTTTTTTTTAAGAAACTTTAAATTATTAAATGAATATGAAATTATCCAAAGTAGATTTTAATGTGAATAATTCTTATTCTTAAAAATATTTCTTAAGCATTAAATATGACTACAATGGTAAGAAATTTAAGTAAATAAAAAAATAATAGCAAATATTTGTTATAAATAATTTTTTAAGATAAAAGAACTATTATAAGATAAACCAATAAAATATTATTAATCTATTTCTATAATAATTTATGCTTTCTAATTGACTAAAAAGTAAATATAATGGTTATTAATTTTATTTATAAATTTATTTCTTCGTTCTCATATATTCTTTTTACAAGAAAAACTTATTTTGGTTGAATGAATATTTTTTTTTGTAATATAAAAATTAAAGGTTATTTTGTATCTTAGTTAGCATAAGAAACAAAATAATTAATAGGAAAAATTAAATTATTAAATTTTAATATGAAAATATATTTCTTTAAAAGGAAATAAATTACTTAATTTAGTAAAATAATATTTATGAAAACTTTTACATATAAGATAATATAA